GAGGGACCTGGGATTGACATGTAAAATAATCTTCTTTCTAATTCAAATAAAAATTTAAAAAAGAAAGTCATCTGGGAAAGAGAAACTGTAGATATGATGGAAATAGAAGTAAGCGTGTCCACTGGGAATCTTTATATGAAATGTTTAGAAAGGCACTTGAGACAGCAGGTGAAAACCTAAATTAAAGTTAGTGTGTTCTGCACCAATCTTGAGAGAGAAGTGAAAATGACAATGATGGGCAGAGTACAAGATTTTCATTTGCTTTGCAGTTTGCATAAGACAGGCATATTCTGCAACCCAGAATTTCACTCTAATTGGTTACCTTGGTGACAGTACTACACCTATTCAGGGAGAGATAAAGGAGAATGTTTTCTTCAACTTTGCTCACAAGTGCAAAACACCCTTTAAAAAACCCACATCAAACACTCTAGAAAAATAATAGGTGGTTGATTAGCACAATGTGGTATTTGACAGCAGTGAAAGTGAGTAGACTATTGCTACCTGCCAGCATGAGGAATTTCTAAAATAAAGCCAATGAGCTAGTTCACTTTTAAAAGGTACATAGAGAGAATCCATTCATGTAAAACATAAAACACAAATGAAGGTAGATTTTATATGTTAATGAACCTTTAATTTGGGGAAGTTTTATTTTCACAGTTTTTAATATTTTTCTTCTGAACAAGATGTTTTATTCTGAATAGTATGTAATTTGAGGTTAATCATGAATGCTTTAGCTTTAGGGTGGGGAAGAAAAGCTAGAGAGAAAATACCAATGATGCCTATGCTTGGTTAGTGAAATGTGTACATTTGATGATATTGTTAATCAAAGAAGGAGGTGAGCTATTAAGAAGATAGACATGGACTCCCTATTTCAAGCAGGTCAGTCTCTATCTACTTTAGTAGCTGATGCTGATCTCCAGTTATGCTAGTGACCTCAGACAGGAATCACTCTTTCCCTGAATCTGTATAGGTTTTGTATAAATCCAACAACAATGTAACAAATGAGCATTTTGTAATGTAGTAAATGAATGATTCCATGTATCAAGAATACAAATCTATTTAATAATCTGTCCATACTACACATATGCCTCATTTTACACATACATGTGTACCTGTATGTACACATGTGGATGTTGTGGTTAACTTTAGTAACTACATCCCATTGGCCTAGAGTTTACCAGTTATGCTGAACACGGTGATCAGCAAGCCCCATAGATCTTCCTGTCTCCACTTCCCCAGTGTTAGATATACAGATCCATGTCACATGCCCAAAAGTTTTGCACTGTGTCTGGAGATCGAACTCAGGTCCTCATACCTGTAATGCAAGCACTTTCCCAATTAAGCTATCATAGTCTCATTTTTTCCCTTTGATTTTGTTTTTGTGATTGTGTATATTTCTTAATAAGTAGCCGAAGGACATACAAACAAAGCCTATTTATGCTGTTTCTAGAAACATGATATACAGCAGAAGTACAAACATTTTGATATGTGAGTTTCTATCAGGAGGAAAGGAGATATTAGGGGCTGGGGACCTTAACTGAATCTGTAATATTTCATTTCCTATTTTAAAAATGGTTTGATGCACATATGGCAAAATGTTAACATCTGTTGAATCTTAGTGATGCCACATAAATGCTTGGATTATTTTCATAGTTTTCTACATACTTGAAATTTCATGTAATTAAAAATAACACTATTAATAGGAAATGTGAAATCTATTCATATTAAAATTTAAATTACAATTTATAACAAAATGGTCACATTTTGTGTGAGTCATTTTTTGCAACATCTTAATATTTCTAATTTTAAGCTTCAAGAAATAAGCCAGATAATGTGCTAAGTTCTACAAGCATTTCTTATTTTTGTATTTTCTTGCTTCTAAGTATTCTATTTCTTTATGTATTATTTATGTTTTGAAGAATAAAATGTTCCCATGTGACAGAGTGACTTTTACAATGTATCTATCAATCAACCAGCCAGTATCTGCTGAGCTCATATTATGTGCCAATTTCATGGCACTTACAGTGAATTAAAGTAGAGTCAACAAAGAAACCAGAACACAAGTGAATATTAATTATACATTGTAAAAAATATTCTGGAAAAGAAAATTAGTGCTGGTGATCAATAGCAAATTTGGAGTAGTACTTCAAAAATGTATGTTAGAAGAAATGACATTTAGTGGTCTTCATAGGTGACAAGGATTTGATGATAAAAAGCATGGGTCAATGATTGGCTTTCTTAAGCTGCAGGTATATGAAAATCGGAACAATACAGAGAAAATTAGCATAAAACCTGTGCAAGAATGATGAACAAGATCATGAATTTTGCTAGTTAGAAAGGCCCTGTATTAGAGATGCCAAGAAACCTCCCCAGGCTGTTGTGACCACCCTTGACCAGCAAGAAAACCGAGCTCATTGCTCATTGGCAAATTTTATTTGGAAAGCTCTCCAATCCAAATATTGTCCTGGCGATAAACAAGCTCTTACCAAATTCATCCAGTTGCCAGGTGTCATACAGATGCGATTGAGTGCATCTATCTGAGCAACTGTAAAAGCTGCCGTCACCCCATAGGTGGGCACTGACTCTGCCAGAGCTTTGACTATTTTAAAGTCAAGCGGCTCATGATGTCTCTGTTGGCTACCATCCATAAAAACTGGATAAGCCAGTGGTCGAGCAATACGGAACTCAGTGCAAACAGTGCGCCATACTTCCGGACAGAAGGTGGAACAACCAGGAGCTCTTACTTCCTCTTGTGAGCAATAGGGGGGAGGAGCAGTAGGGTGGTGCCCTTGCTTTACAGTTGCCATTTTAGGGCGCTGTTTTTCTGGTACTTTTAAGGAATGTTTTTCCATGAGCTCAATAATCTCCCCCTCCTCACCCTCCTTGTCCTGCTCATCCTCATATATTTCCTCCTCTGATTCTGAAGCCTCTCCTGGTTCTTTTAGCTCCTTCCTCAACTCTCCTAGAGAAGGATAGACTCGCTTCTTATTCCCTTTCTGTTTTTCCTTTCTAGCCTCACTTTCTAACTGTTCTGATCTTTCTTCTTGAACCATTTCAAGGGCAGCTTGTCCATTCGCTATAGCTTTCTTATTTCCCTCTTGATCCTCTAGACAGCTGCGTACTAGTCACCATATCTGCCAAACACATGGCTTCAACGTTCCTTGTTCCCAGGCAAAATCCAAATCTTTCCCTAACTTTAGCCTCACTTTCTAACTGTTCTGATCTTTCTTCTTGAACCATTTCAAGGGCAGCTTGTCCATTCGCTATAGCTTTCTTATTTCCCTCTTGATCCTCTAGACAGCTGCGTACTAGTCACCATATCTGCCAAACACATGGCTTCAACGTTCCTTGTTCCCAGGCAAAATCCAAATCTTTCCCTAACTTATCCCAACTAGCCACTGAGAGATTGCCCAAAACCACGAACCAGGATGCAATGGCGTTGCATTCATTCAGGAACCTTTGCAACGTGGGTTTAGTTAACTTTAATTTTTTAGAATGAAGCAGCTCTTGAAGAGCCAGAAAAATTGGATGTGACTGTGATGATCCCATTGTGCTTTTGTTTTAGTTTGTGTGCTCCAGAGGTGTACACGTTGGATAGCACCACCAAAAAACAAAAGCCCACAGTGCAATGTTAAAAAGCAGCTAAATCACCACTCCAATAGCGGGGTCCATTCACTTTGCTCTCACTCTGCAAGTTAAAGCAGGAGCGAGGCATTTTACTTTCGGTTCACTTCGGCTGCGAAGGATCTTGCTCCTATCCGGAGGCCTTATTGCCTCTTTACCAAGGTCCTTATTGCTCCTTACCGGAGACCTTATTGCCGCATTCACCGAGGACCTATTTGTCCCATTTACCTTGGGAACTTACCGGCGCCACCCCGACTGTGAGAAGTTCTGAATCCCCGTACAGGCCACCACTTGTCTCGACCACCCTTGACCAGCAAGAATGACGCAACACCGAGGAATCTTCTTCTCACAGTTTTACTCGGGAAACTTGATTTACAGGGAGTGGCCCCTAACCAAGGGGCTTAATATATCCAGCAACTACCAATCATCTACGCCCAGGTGGCATGCTAGGATAGGTTGTCACCAAGCAGATTTAGAAGGCTACGTGGCCTTTACCAAATTAGGAGTTGTTTACCACAGAGAGCACTCGCCATCAGGCTGGCGGAAGGCGGAAACCGGCACAAATGATGGGGGGAATCTGTGAGCTTTCTCCTTAGCATTTCTGTTCAGCATTTTGCTGGAAAATGTTAAATTGGTGGATTAGATTTCTAATTGAAGATCCATCTGTAGCTCTAAACCATAAAACATTAACTGTAATTGACCAGTGATGAAATAATACATCAAAATATTACACATATTTTGAAGTTGGAAGAATTGGGAATACAGTATCATGATAAGAATTAAAAAATCAATTATCAGAGCTATTGTGGCATATAAGTGGAAGTTATGTATTTAATTACTACTATAGTACTGATTTTGAGATACTATTAAAATGTCAATCACTGTGGTTAGAATACAATTACTAGCTAGTGGAAAATCATACATATGTTAAGACAATGAAGTGGCCTTATAAGTATAAAATAGAAAAAATGTGCACAATAATATTGATTGAAAGATTGAGTTTTAAAAATAGATCTGATTTAGGCAATACAAAATTTGTTAATAGAAAGTATAAAAATACAAAGCATTTGTATATACTGGTATGATGTCATGCATACAGACACTGTCAGAATGTGCACATATACACACTAAATATAAGGCAATAGTTAGCTGTGAAGGAAGATAAAAGGAAGCTAAATATAAGAGTCTGCCAGAGAGCCCCTGCTTTTTGCTATAACAATGAAAACAAGGAAAGAGGAGCTTGCACCCAGGACTTACCAGCTTAATCAGTGTACAGGCATAAAGGAAGCCAAATATAAGAGTCTGCCAGAGAGTCCCTGCTTTTTGCTATAACAATGAAAACGAGGAAAGAGGAGCTTGCACCCAGGACTTACCAGCTTAATCAGTGTACAGGCTTAAGTTCCACCCAAGAAGCAATGAGTCAATATTCAGTTTGCATCCCCAACCCCTTAAATCCCAGCTTTCACAACTATTTATGAAAATGTCTTCTAATGTTTACTGCTGGAAACTCCAAAGATTCCCTGAGTCTGTTTGACAGCAGTTCACGCTAGTAGTTGCAGTCCAATGGCTTGCCTTCTTTCCATTTTCCCTTCTATTTGGTTCCATCCAACTTCTAGAACCATTACTGGATGCTGGAAGCTTAGATGTAAGTTCCTCAAGCTGCTTAATACTTGCTGCTATAAAAGCAAGGTCAAAAGACAGAGTCTCCACTCTGATACTCTCTTAAGTACTTCATTTTACTAATCCCTTAGAAAGATCAGAGATGCTGCCATTTTTTTTATTGAGCATCTCCAGAAGCCAGTGATAGGATGATCAGGAACAGTATCAGGGCTATTATTTAGGAAGAAACATGCATTATTTCCAAAATTAAATGTCTGCAATAAGACCAGATAGATGCAAGGATGAAGAGGAACAGCTGGTCAGTACTGGCTTGTAGCCAAGCTACATAGTATCTGGGAAATAAAGAAATAGATTTGTTTCCATGCTCATTAGGAAATTCCATTTGGAGCCTCAGAAGCTGCCCATGGTGATAAGAAACCTAGAATTTTTTTTAACATCTGTAATAAGCAGAATTTATATAATTAACCTAAAAGGTTTTCATCTGTTTGGCTTAGGCACTAAAATTTCATTGTTCACGGGTCTTATTTTCTGGCTCATTTATTTTGTCATTTCACTTCACTTTTATCTTCCTTGCAGCATTCCTGTGCAAGAGAACATCACTGCATACTTGTCATCAAATAATGTTAGCTAATACTTCAAAGTCACCTCATGTAAAAGAAAGCTAAATGAAAATCACCCTTTTCAAGGTCTTGCATAGAGGGATGGGGGAGGGAACATTGCCAATTCGAATTTCTGAATGCTGTTATAGGATCAATAAACTCTTCATCTGTGGTGAATAGTAACAAGAAAATTGTATGTTCCTAGACCAGGAGTCTAGAAGATAGCAACTATGTGGTCCTTGACTCTTATAAAGAAGCAAGTCTAAAACTCTGTGCTATAGTCATCAACAGTGGCCCAAATTTTTCACTCTTCCCTTTAGCTATATATTTTGGCATATAATTTTGTAAAGGTCTCTCATTCTGAGTGCAGCCTTTACAAATACAGCAAATGTGATCAGTATGAGATTTGAGTCACATTTAATAGTTCAGCTTTCTCAATTTGAATGTGTGTCATGACAGGGGTTATGGGCTAGATTATAAAGGGATAAAAGGTATACTGGATAGCCCTGTCTCACTGAAGTCATCCCTGCCAAGGCCATCACAGTCCATCGAGCAGCCAGGGAGCTACCTTCTTAAGTTCTATAGGCTGGGACATCATAACCAAACAATTTACATGACCTGCATCTAATATAGACATGACTGATTCCAGCCCAATTTAAGTAAAATGTATAGCCACATAAACTAAATGCACTGCCAAGGTTTCTGTTGCATACAGTCATATGACAGCAGACACCTACTTGTGGTATAGTACATTCTGCTTGAAAACCTTAATAAATGTTGCCACCCAAGGTGTGTGTGTGTGTGTGTGTGTGTATAAGACTTATTTCAAAACTACTCTGTCATTGAATTTATCATTGCACCCTAAAAACATAAATAATACCACTTCATTCTACTTAACTCACAAATAAAAACATCACAAAGTTAGTTAGGAAGAGACTTAGACACTTTCCCGGTCCAAAAGACTGTACACCATAGTGAACTTCTGTACAACTATAAAGATGACCACACTTTAAAGTTACTAATTTGGGTCCTCCTTGTTTCCTAGTTTCTCTGAGGTTGTGGATTGTAGCCTGGTTATTCTTTGCTCTATGTCTAGTATCCACTTATGAATGAGTACATGCCGTGTTTTTTTTATGTGTCTGGTTACCTCATTCCAGTTCTATCAATTTGCCTGCAAATTTCAAGATGCCATTGTTTTTTGTTTTTTTTCTTCCCATGGAGCAGTACTCCATTGTGTAAATGCACCACATTTTCTTTATCTATTCTTCATTTGGGGGGCATATAAGTTGCTTTCAGGTTCTGGCTATCACAAATAATGCTGCTATGAACATAGTTGAACTGATATCCTTGTAGTATGAATGTGCATTCTTATAGTGGAATTGCTGGATCAAGGGGAAAGGGACATGATCTCCCGAGTCTCTTGAGTAAATTGGGAGCAGGAGGGGAGGGAGAGGGAGACAGTAGAAAGAGGATTGGAGAAGGGGAGGGGGAGAA